CACTGAAAAAAGGGGGGGGGGGTTTAGGCTTTTTAAGGTAATTGGAGGGTTTCTGTTATGGTGATTTCTTCTCACAATCTACTGTGAGTGTTAAGTGCTGTCAAGGAATGTTCCCTCTAATTTCTTCCCCTGCTGTGCGGAGGAGTTCACATCCTGAGCAGACCATAACTGCTGTAATCTTAAAATGGGCAATGGGCAGTGCAAGACCCTGTGCTGCGGCTCCAGATTGCTGCTGAGTGGGGCTTCCTGTGTTAATGAGCCGCCCTGGACGTACACAGCTTAGAGGGAACACTGCTGTTAAGTCATTCTCGACTGTATAGCGACCCTGTGAATCTACAATCTCTACAATTTACTAGTTCCTATGAATTCCAGGTTTCGCTTCACAACAACAAAAAGTCTCTAGCTGTTTTTGTTGCAGAAGTGTAAGGGGTCCATCTTTTACCCTATATCTCTGTGGTGAAAGAGGTTAGAGAAAAACGAAAGCTAGACATTCAGAGGAAATAGTGGGTCATGGCAGGAGTTCATTAGAATGCTATAGTGATCTATTGATCACTTTTTAAAACAAGAGCCCTCTGGCCACAGGGGGCTAAGATACGGAAAATGGTGTCAATGTGAGCAGGATCTTAATAAACAATTCCCAACTTCTCATCCACACAGCACGCCAACACACTTTGGATGTGATCTTTCCAAAAAGATCATACCAATCTAGCAGATATTTTGCTGCGCCTTGGCCTCCTTACTGCCATGTTGTGTTCTGAAGCATCCGCATAATATTGGCCTCTGTTCATCCTGTTTCCACAATTCCCCCAGTTGTCCTGCAGTCCTTTCCAAACCTGGTTTGGTGCGATCTGTTGCAGCCTATGGATGCCATGTTAATAGTGCTGCGTAGTCATGATTTTAATCATAGGTATTCATGTTAATCTGTGTATTCTCATGTGGCTCTTTATGGTTCAGCCAGCTTGTCAGGAAAAGTACAGTTCATTAGTGTAGCTGAAGAAATAGTAGATTTGTTGGTTTTTATTTGTGAACAGGCGCCAGTTTTAGCCTTATAACTTTGCTCTGAGAATTTAATGAGAGTTATCATAGATGCACCTCAGTGTATCTTTAGAATCAGCTCGGGGACCAATACTTTTAATTAGAGCACAGTGACGTGTTAAAGGTAGAAAGATTTTTGTGTGTTCCTAACTGTGAACTTCTCTATAAAAAGTGTCATGGGAAGGTGCTGATCAGCCCTGGACTGGAGGGCCCAGGCTAGCCCAATCTCATCAGATCCCAGAAGCTAAGTAGGGTCTACCTTGGCTAGTATTTGGATGGGAGATCTCCAAGGAATACCAGAGTCATGGCGCAGAGGCAGGCAATGGCAAACCACTTCTGAAGGTCTCTTGACTTGAAAACCCTATGGGGTCACTGGCGGCAAAACACCAAGGGGCTAATCAGACTCTTTGTGGGGACTTCTAGTCAGAGAAGGTCTTAGGTGAGATGTGTGGACTTCTGAACTTTACATAGCCAGTCAGCCAAACCTGATTTCCTTAACTTTGTATATTTAGTTAAGTCTGAGAAATGTTAGCAGATCAGATTTTTATTGTGTTTTTTTCTGTAATACTAAGATTAATTAGCACGTGTATTTACTTGTCAAATTCTTGCCTGATAAAAAAGAGCTATGGTTTATTTTAAATAAAATCAGTAACTGAAAAGTTCCCTGTTTGTTCTGGCAAAAGATCAGACACCACAAACCCAATATTTTATTGGGTTATAAGAGATAAGTCTCTTTCAGAGAGTCTATCTTAGACCCAATTAGAGATTTTGCAACTGTGAAAACTAATGGGGCTGATCGGTGTAGATCCCTAAATTGGGTGTGGATTAGATAATTTGTCACAACAGGAAGATGGGCATTTTTAGAAGGCTTATCCACAGCGGCACCATTTTCCTTCCCTCAGTTGACAGTGGCTACTCGTTGTGTGCAATGTTCCCTCTCAGCTCCATAGTCTTGTGAGCAGAAATTCTACCTCGTGAGTGAAAAAAGCTGGTAGCATTACAGTTGTGAACAAGTCTACATTTGCCTATTGCGTAAATTATTCTTTTAGATTATTTCCATAACCTTGTAAAAATCTCAGAATGAATTCTTTTAAACTATATTTAAGCTATATCTTAAGAATAATTTAAACATTATGAGAGAAAACAGAATCAAGTCAAATTTCATTACACAAAATGTTGTCCTCTACAGGGGTAGACCAGGTCTCCGGAGAACAGGTCTCTCTGTCCCTTTCTACTATATTGGTAGACCTGGCCTCCAGAGAATAGGTCTACCTGCTCCAGTCCTGAGAGCCAGTTTGATGTAAGTGCGCATACTCTAATCTGGGAGAACCGGGTTGATTCCCCACTCCTCCACTTGCACCTGCTGGATGACCTTGGGCAAGCCATAGTTCTACAGCCCCGCCTGCCTCCCAGGGTGTCTGTTGTGGGGAGGGGAAGGGAGAGGAGATCGTAAGCAGCTCTTCCTTTGGGTAGTGAAGGGCGGGGTATAAATCCAGTCTCTCCTTCTTCTTCTTCTTCAGTCCACTATATTGGTAGACCTGTCCTCCAGAGAACAGGTCTAACCACCCCAGTCCACTATATTGGTAGTCCTGGCCTTGGAACGTCACCCTGCACTGACCCTTAGAAAACATACCAGCGGGGGGGGGGGAGACTCTTACAGTCTGTTTTGTATTTTTTAGTGAAATATGACAACCAGCATTACAGGACAAGTATAACAGAGGTGGAGCAGTCACTGTCAAAACCCTGCCTAACCTAACAAACAGGAAGTTGCTTAAATGTTATCAATCTGTCCAAACTACTAATTTATTCAGATATTTATATCCCCCTTTTCCCTGTGACTCAAGGCAGTTTACAGGTCATACTGAAAAGCATAATGGTGTGTAAACCCCCCCCACACACACCTTTTTTGGCTCAATTATAGCTTATGGGGACCCATAGGCTATAATGGAGAATCAATACAGGGGTATCTGGGGCTCGGGGGGGCTGTTTTTTGAAGTAAAGGCACCAAATTTGCAGCATAGCTGCAGGTTCCTCTCCTCAACACCCCCCCCCAGTTTCAAAAAGATTGGACCAGGGGGTCCAATTCTATGGGCCCTAGAAGGAGGTGCCCCCGTCCTCCATTGTTTTCTACAGAAGCTTGGTTGTAAGCTGAACAGAAATCCTCTGAGCGGGCCTCTGAAATGTTGTGCGCCAACACCTCCTAGCGCAGCTTAGAGGGAACTGTGGCTGGTGAGTAAAGTGAGCAAATTTCTGAATGCCAATGCTAGGAGGCAGCATCAGGAAGCCCTCTAGAGCAGGCATGTCCAACTTCGAACAGGTAGTGATCTATTTTTTCCGGCCAAAAGTGCCGGTGATCTACCACCATGAAAATAAAGTTTCAAATTAGTGTCAAATTTGATTTTAACCCACTAAATCTGGGTTCCACCCCCCCCCCAATTTATAATGCACCTTCTGTCATTTACTGGTAAGCAAAATAAGCAAAAACAAAACAGAGAGACCACCAAATACCACCAAACAATCATCAAAAAACCCCAAACACCTGTCCAGCAAACCAGGAGACCAAGTGGGGCTGGTGATCTACCTCTGACCCCTTCGCGATCTACTGGTAGATCGCGATCTGCCTGTTGGACATACCTGCTCTAGAGTAACTGGTTGGCCACCCTGTGAAACAGGATGCCTGACTAGATGGGTCGCGGCACTAATCCAGCAGGGCTCGCCTTATATTCTTATGGATACCACCCTCCTACCCACCTGGACGGGTTCCCCCCCCCCGGTTTTTAAAAACTGGTAATAATTAGGTCACTATGGCATTATAATGATCTGTTGCAACAATGTACTAGTTCCCAAATTTCATTTTTTAAAAATCAAATCTCTAGCACTTTGCTCTGCAGAGTTATAAGGAGGAAGGTAGCGTCTGCTCATTTCTCCCTATGACTTCATGTTGAAAAGGGCTAGAGACTTATTTTTTAAAAAAGATGAAAGCCGGGAATAAGTAACATAAGAACATAAGATAAGCCAATGTTGGATCAGGCCAATGGCCCATCCAGTCCAACACTCTGTCACACGGTGGCCAAAAATACGAGGTGCCATCAGGAGGTCCTGCAGTGGGGACAGGTCACTAGAAGCCCTCCCACTGTTCCCCCCCCCCCAAAGACCCATGCAAATGACCTAAGTAGTGTTATAATGCTACAGCAATCTAGAAATTAGTGATCTTAAAAAAAAAAAAAAAAGCCCACTGGCAGTGGGAGGGGGAAATTATAGCCATGGGGGAGGCTGAAGCAAGGAAAGTACAGGGAAGACTCCCATGTGGATGTTCCATTGCCTCAGTGACTGCCTTTGCAGCAGCGTCGTCTCCACATGGAAGCAACCAGGTGTAGGAAAGATCAGTGTAAAGCATGAGATAACACAGAAAATGGAAGGTTAGGGGAATGATATTGTGTAGGTGCTCCTCCCCCCGGGGAATAAAAACCCTCACTCCAATTTGAATGTCGAATTAGAGCTAAACATCCATATGGAAATAATCATACAATTCTGCTCTGCAGGAGTGGTTTTCTACCTTGTTTGCTATTTGCAAGGACTAAAGCTAAAACCTACTGATAGGTTGCATTCAGCTGTTCCGTTGAACTGCAGTTCAATAAGAATGTGCAGAAATCCTGACTGTGCTAATCTTGACTGCATCCCTGATATTTCTCTTCTTCTCCTTGTGCACAGCATGATGAAGGAACGGGTTAGCTGTGATACATGAAGGGAGCCCTGTAGCTAAACAGGAGCTCTCCCAGTCCTTTCCCAGCAAGCCACGATTCTTGGCTTGAGGATCCTGGCTTGTCGAGGGAGAGGGAACAAAGACTGTGGAATGGCTGTGGAAATCTCATGTTGCTCTTTCTGGAACCTGCAAGCTCCTCTCCTTGGTTCTGCTCAAATCCCATTCATCTCATCCCAAATCTCTGTCTCTTCATCTCTCCTAGTCCTGCTGGCTGAATATGTGGATGACGGAGATGTGAGCGGGAAGACCTTGAAGATTACAGATTTTGGGCTGGCCCGCGAGTGGCACAAGACGACCAAGATGAGCACGGCAGGCACCTACGCCTGGATGGCACCTGAAGTCATCAAAAGCTCCACTTTCTCCCGAGGCAGCGACGTCTGGAGGTGAGAGACAAGCCCCTATCCAGGCATGGACTCCTGTTTTGGGACCATAGAATGCCAGGGGGGCAGAGAAAGGCAGGGTTCCCACACACACGTGAAACCAGAGCCCCCAGTTCCCACATGAGTGTCTGAGACGTCCTCGCTCTTCCCACTGCTATTCATAATGTGAAGTTCTCAGGACTCCCAGAATTCTTCAATGAGCGAATTAAAGAAAGAGCAAAACGTTTATACGTATGACAGACAGGGTACATATGTGTATGTGGCAGAGGTGGATTCGGGGGGGATCGCGGGGGATCGCAGTTCCCCCGGGTGAGGTGCGGGGGGCGGGGCACACAACGAAGCCCCGCCCCTTTCTTCTGGCCGCCCCCTGCTTCCATCCTTATTCTGTTGCAGAAGGAGGAAGAAGCAGGAGGGTAAGTTGGCGTCCTCCCCCTCTGCCTGGCCGAGGCCACTCCACGTGGCCTCCGCAAGGACTCCCAGCCCCATCCAGGAGCTTCCCCGAGGTAGCTGTGTTAGTCTGTTGCTGCAAAATAGTCCAAGAGTTCAAATAGCACCTTTAAGACTAACAAATAGCACCTTTAAGACTAACAAATAGCACCTTTAAGACTAACCTTTAAGACTAAGACTGAGTGGTGGGTGTGGCCTTATGACACACTTCCAGTGATGTCAGGGGGTGTGGCATATGCTACTGAGTTATGCTAATGAGTTCCCTTAGCTCTTTTTCTACGAAACGACCCCTGGTATGTGGTGTGTGCCTGCATGCACGCGCACACCAAAGACAATGCTGAGACCCAGATGACCCAAAAGATTTGCACTGCTGATTTCACAAAATAAGGGACGTTGACGTGACCCATCAGTCTTGATCTCAGCCCCTGTCAACAACAGGGGTCTCCAGCGTTGTACCTGTGGGCATCATGGTGTCCACCGACACCTTTTCTGGTGCCTTCCAAGTGTTTTTAGGAAGTGGCTTCTGACTGGCCTTTGGGGATCCGATTGGCTTTGCCAATTAAAATGATTTTGTTCTTTCCTCTTTCCCAGTGTGTTTTTTAAAATTGCCCCTCTTCTCCCCTGCACTCGAGCTTCCTGTGCGGTTGGTTCTGCCTCCTGTGGCAGCCATTTTGTGGTGGAGCTTTCCCTCATGTGGCAGCCACCACTCTGTGTCAGAATTCTAACAGTGCCCATAGGGTGAAAAAGGCTGAGGACCCTTGGTCTATGGTGTACAGAAAGGAAATTGGTTTTAATTCCCAAGTGCAACTTTTGTTCCCTGGAATCCATGAACAACAAAATAAATAGGCCGAGGATCCTGTTCAGCCCATGTGACCAAAAAGATTTTATGTTAGTGGGTGTTTCACAAAATAAGAAAAGTTGGGAGTGCCTTTGTTTTTGCCTGAATAAGGGTGGGGGTCCCATTGAGTAAGGCGACAGGGTTCCAGGCACCTACTACAGGCGTGCTGGAGTTTCATGACCTCTTCTGTGTGCCCCTTTCCTTCTAGTTACGGAGTCCTCCTTTGGGAGCTTCTCACGGGGGAAGTCCCGTATCGGGGCATAGATGGGCTTGCTGTGGCCTACGGTGTTGCTGTCAACAAGCTGACACTACCTATTCCATCCACCTGCCCAGAACCCTTTGCACGCCTCATGGCAGGTAAGAGGACCAGGAAGGGAGGCGGGACTTGGAACTGTGCTGAGAACAGAGTTGGGCTTTCCTAGGGTAACAAATGGCCTCTTTTGTGACTGTTTAGAGGAACCCACGAGTGCTCTATTTGTAAATATATCAGTGTTGCCCTCACTACTTTAGTGTGATCTCTCTCCAGCCACCACAGCTCTGGGTCAAATAAAATCATTGATTTCTACAGGCATTTTTATTGTGTGTATTAAGTGCCATCAAGTTGTTCCTATGAATTAATGTCCTCCAGAACATCCTATCTTTAACAGCCTTGCTTAGGTCTTGCAAACTGAGGGCTGTGGCTTCCTCTGTCCATGTTGGGTCTTCCTCTTTTCTGGCTGCCTTCCGTTTTTCCTAGCGTTGTTGTCTTTACCGTGACTCTTACCCATCTCATAAGGTGGCCAAAGTAGGGTAGCCTACATTTAGTCATTTTAGCTTCTGTAGAGAGTTCAGGCTTGATTTGATCTAAAGGTAAAGGTTCCCTTGCTCGAAAGCCAATCGAATCCGACTCTAGGGTTGCGGTGCTCATCTCCGTTTCCAAGCCGAAGAGCCAGCGCTGTCCGAAGACGTTTCCGTGGTCATGTGGCCGGCATGACTAAACACCAAGACGCACGGAACGCTGTTACATTCCCACCGAAGTGGTACCTATTTATCTACTTGCAATGTCTTGCTTTCGAACTGCTAGGTTAGCAGGAGCTGGAACTAGGGGTGGGAGCTCACTCCGTCATGCAGCACTCAGGTCTCGAACTGCTGAACTACTGACCTTCCACAGCCTGCAGTTCAGCATCTTAACCACTTGAGCCACCGCAGCTCTAGAGGCTTTGATTTGATCTAGAGGCCACTTATTTGTCTTTTAGGCGGTCTCTGTCTTTTTGGTGGACCACGGTATCCATAAAGAAACACCACATTTCAAATGAATTAGCTGTCTTCCTGTCAGTGTTCCTTATTGTCCAATTTCACATTTTTATTATTTACATTTTAATTGGGGCATTGCTGTTTGATCTTAAATACTCACTTGTTAAAAAGATTAGGCCCTGCAGCCAAAGGTGTGGCTGTTTTCTTTCAGGTCATTGTCTGTGAGCCTATACATTTCTCCCACATGATGTACTGTTCACAGCTCCATCCTGGGTAGGGATAGGCACAAACTGAACCATGAAGCAAAATCTGTAACAAATCTTGCCCTGTCTCACGGTTCGGGAACCAAAATCCACAACGGGTCCATGGTCATTGACTTGCATGAACTTTTGAGGCAATTCATGGGGTTCATGCTGGTTCCTGGCCAAAGTAGAAAGCAGGGATTTAAAGGGACTCCAAGTCCCTTTAACCTCCTGCTTTATGCTCTAGGAGGAAGCCACAAAAACAGCCGAGCAGCTAGGAGTACTCCCTGCCATTCAGCTGTTTCCAGCTTTCTTGTGAAGTCCCTTTAAAGTTTAAAGGGACTGCACAAGAAAGCCAGGAAACAGAGCAGCCTGTCTGGAGTTGGGCACCGATTCAACCGTGAAGGTGCCGCCTGTTGCCTTGCAATCCAGCAGAGCCCAGGTGCTTGCCCACCCTCCATGCATTGTCTGATGATGTCCCCCAGACCTCCCATTGGGAACTCACCCAGGAGGCCGGTGGAGGAGGAGGCCGGTGGCAGAGGAGGGATGGGCCAGCTGAGGCTGTCAGTGGAGGAGACAGCCCCAGCAAGCCACACAGTGGCAGCAGGGCTGTAGCTGTGGGCCGCAGCACCACCCTGGGAGCCCAGGGGCAGGGGGCACCAGCAGGGAAGGGAGTCACTCCAGCCTGGGTTGGGCCTCTTCCGGCGGTGGCAAAGCTGAGCCCATCAGGAAGTGGTCCAGCCATGGGGGATGGCCAACCCATGTGGTCCTCTGGCTGGAGTGGCCTCCTTCCCTGCCGGTGCCACTTTCCCCCACCCTGGGCTTCTGGGGTGGGCCTGGCCACCGTACTGCTGCCACGGCCCTGCTGCTGCTGCTGGACAGCTTACAGCCGCCGTCTCCTCGGCCGACTGCCTCAGTTGGCCGCCCCTTCTCTGCTGCTGGCCTCCAGGGCGAGTTCCGAATGGGAGGTCTGGGGGGCATCATCAGGTGACAGGGAGAGGGTGGGTGAGTGCCCAGGCTCTCCCAAACTGCTGGGCAAAAGACGGGGGCTTCCCCTGTTGAAGCGGTGCCTGACCCTGGACAGGCTGCTCCCCATTTCCTAGCTTTCCTGCTGCACAAGAAACCCTGAAACAGCTGAGTGGCTGGGAACCTCCTGCTGGTCAGCTGTTTTTGCTGCTTTCTGAAAACCCTGTTTGAAGGGAATGCTGTCCCTTTAAATGAGGTTTGCTGGGCCCACAAACCACGTCAGAGAGCGAACTGGTTCGGTTTGGCCACAAACCACGTCAGAGAGAGAACTGGTTCACTCTGGCCACAAACCAAACTGCATTTTTGCGGTTCTTGTCCATCCCTAATCCTGGGTCCTGTTGATCAGACATGCACCGGGAGTTCCACACTGAAATTTGATTCCAAGGTGCTGATTTGGATCAGGACCATGGGGAGAGGGGCCTTACTCCTTCCCCTCCAGCACCAGGTGCTGCTATCAACCCTCTGAAGCCCCGTGTGGCTGGGGATCAGCGTAACTTAAGGACCACACCTACTCACATGCAGATCTACTTGACCTCTACATTCATCTTCTGAAGCGCTGCTTTGGGTGCCCCTGTTTTTGTCACTCGTTCGTCCCTATTGCTTTGGGCTCCCCCCCCCCCCTTTTCCACATCTGTTTTGCCCCCTCTAATTTTTGTGACGTCTTGTGAGCAATCTACTTTGTGAGCTACTGGTATTAAAGTTGTGAGTGGGCGAGTTGGCTACCGGTTTGCTCTGGAGCCATCCTTCCTGAGCTAAGACAAAAAAATGTGTGAGCTGGAGGCTAAAAAACTGTGAGCTAGCTCACACTAACTCAGCTTAGAGGGAACACTGGCCAAGATGTATAACTACGGTGTGATTATAGCTGCGATTCAATGCAAGAAAGATCTGTGAATGACAGTAAATTAGTATACAAATACAAGAGTTGGCAAACAGACTTGGGAATGAGGTTTAAGTCCAGTGGCACCTAAAAGACAAAGTTCAGTTCTGGGTACAAGCGAGAACAAGACTTTCCGATTCCTAGAAACAGATTTCCTCAACTATGACATATTGGGGGGGGGGGGTTTAGTTGCCAGGAAGAGCTAATTAGAGTCAAGATGCATAAGTAACTGAGCAATAAATACAGCTAAGACTGGAATAACACATTAGGTGAGGCATGTAAATAGCAGTAAGTTGATATACAGGTAATAAAGGAGTTAAAAATGGATGTGAGAACTAAGTTTGAGTCCAGTGACACCTTTAATTCCAAAAACGTTTGATTTCTGGGTACAAGTGAGAACTCTGTGACTTAGCATGTGTAATGAGATAAGCAGCTGATCTTTCTGTTAAGTCCTAGGGGTTCCATTGTTCTGAGTATTTTAATAACTTGTAATTCAGCAATCTCCATTCTGATGCTGGGCGGCCAGTCGGACTCCAGTCCTGATGACCTTCATAGGGCGTTGCAAGCTGTGGCTGGTTGGCTGATTCTGAGCCGGCTGAAACTAAACCCGGCAAAGACAGAGGTCCTGGGCCTGAGTCGGATCGGTTTGGGGTTGGGGCTCCCTCTCCCGACCTTCGACGAGGTGCCTTTAGTGCCGGCGCCGAGGGTTAGGAGTTTGGGGGTGCTCCTGGACTCCTCTTTAATGATAAAGGTCCAGGTGGCAGCCACTGTCAAGTCAGCCTTCTACCATCTTCAGCTGGCGCGACAGTTGGTTCCCTACCTGGATCGTGATGACCTGGCCACAGTGATCCATACGATGGTCACCTCGAGGATAGACTACTATATGGGGCTGCCTTTGTTGCAGATCTGGAAGCTGCAGCTAGTACAGAATGCAGCAGCCAGGCTGCTGATGGGTCTCACTAGGCGGGACCCTATCCAGCCTGTGCTGAAGGCGCTGCACTGGCTGCCAATAGCATACCGGATCCGTTTCACAGTGCTGGTTCTTACCTTTAAAGCCCTATATGGCCAGGGTCCGGCTTACCTGAGGGACCGCCTTTCCCCATATGTTCCCCCAAGGGCACTACGGTCAGGGGGGCAACATCTGTTGGTTATCCCAGCCCCCAAGTTAGTTAAATATGCTGCAACCAGGGCCAGGGCTTTTTCGGTGGCGGCCCCTACCTGGTGGAACGAGCTCCCGGAGGAGATCAGGGCCCTGCGGGACCTTATGCAGTTCCGCAGGGCCTGTAAGACGGAGCTCTTCCGCCAGGCTTTTGAGTAGGGGCTGCCACCGCTATTGTACCACCACCGTATTAACATCATGAGGCACACTGCCCCTGGTATGGGGATGACAGTTATAGTGTAACATCAACTGAGCAGAGACAGTTGTGTTTACTCGGAGTGTGTTATTGACATTCTATTATGGAATTGATATGGTCTGTTGAGCACCAACTTTTAACTGTTTTATAGGTAATGATTGTTTATTGTTTTATGTATGGCATTTGCGGAGTGAGCCAGTTTGGTGTAGTGGTTAAGTGCGCGGACTCTAATCTGGGAGAACCGGGTTTGATTCCCCACTCCTCCACTTGCACCTGGCTGGATGACCTTGGGCAAGCCATAACTCTGGCACAGCTGTTCTTGAAAAAGAGCAGTTTCTGTCAAGAGTTCTCTCAGCCCCACCTACCTCACAGGGTGTCTGTTGTGGGGAGGGGAAGGGAAAGGAGTTTGTAAGCCGCTCTGAGACACCTTTGGGTAGTGAAGGGTGGGGTATAAATCGAATCCCTTCTTTCTTCTTCTTCTTCTCCTCCTCCTCCTCCTCCTCCTCCTCCTCCTCCTTCTTCTTCTTCTTCTGTTCACCGCCCTGAGCCCATGTTGGAAGGGCGGGATACAAATTTAATGAATAAATAAAAATAAATTCCCATCTGTTTCTGAAGTTCCTTCGCAATAAAACAGCTACTTTGAGGTCCCCCACTGAGGTTGAATTGTTCTCCTGGGAGACTGAAGTGTTCTCCTACAGGTTTCTCAGTCTTGTGATTCTTGATGTCAGATTTGTATCCGTTTATCCTTTGGCATAGGGTTTGACCTGTTTTCCCTATGTAGGGAACTGAGGGTGTTATTGGCATTTAATGGCATATACAATGTTGGAAGATGAGCAAGTGAATAAGCCTGAGATGGTGTCGTTGATGTTATTGGGTCCAGTGACTGAGTTGTCTGGATGTATGTGGCAGCAAAGTTGGCATCTGGGTCTGTTGCAAGCTCTGGTACCAGTGCCCATGCTCAAATTAGATATTGCATTATTGGTGGGTGAGGAGTTGTTTGAGATTGGGGGGCTGTCTGTGTGCAAGAAAAGGTTTGCTCCCCAGTACCTATGAAAGAGAACTTTCTTTATTCAGTAGAGGTTGTAAGTCACTGATGAGGCATTGAACTGTTTTGAGTTACCTAATCTATTATTCCAATCTTACCTGTGTTTATTGCTCAGTTACCTAGGCATCTTGGCTCTAATTAGCTGTTCCTGGCAACTAACCCCCCACCTTATATATAATATTTGAAGAAATCTGATTCTAGGAATCTCAAGGAGTGTACATGTTAAGTCTCTCGGTTCTTGCTTGTACTCAGAATTGAACTTTATTTATCTTTTAGATGCCACTGGACTCGAACCTCTTTCCCGCCTCTGTTAACTCACAGATCTTTCTTACATCCAATGTCAGCTATAATCACCCCGTACTTATACATCTTGACACTAAATGGTCATCCCTGACAACAACCCCCACCCCACCCCCTATAAGTAATGGTTGAGGAGGTCTTTCTGTTGTATCTGAGGAAGTGTGCTTGCACACGAAAGCTTATACCATGAATAAAACTTTCTTGGACTCAGACTTCATTGTCACATGATATAGTGTGATGGGTGCTGCTACCTTAGCTGGCTTCATAAAGGGGATTAGACAACTTCCTGGAGGATTGGTCCACCAAAGGCTATCAGGCCCTGATGACTAAATGGAACCTGCATGTTCAGAGGCAGAATACCACTCACTGGGGGGGGGGGGTTAGCAGCAAGAGGAGGCTTTAGTCTCAGTGCCTCAGTGCCTTACTGTGGCCAGTCACATGCTCCTGAGAAAAACAGGATGGTGGACTAGATGGGCCATAAGTCTGATCCAGCAGGACTACTTTTACCGTTCAGTTCCCAACAAGAAGTTGTGTGGAAGGAGATTCAAGTCTCACCACCACCACAATAAAATTCTTACTCCTGGAGACCATGCCCTACGCTTTTGAAAGGGCATGCTTGAAGACTCTTTTTATTTATTCCAATGCTAGTGTCTCCTCAGGTGCAAGCACAACAGGCCTTCCTGAGTCAAGGAAGGTGCTTGTACCGTTTCCATAGCCCCACCCAAGCCTCCCCCTCTAGCTGCTGCTCAGCATCCTCTGCAGCCCGGCACCCCTCTCAGGATCATACCATGCTTAAGATGGTTGTCACAAAAGCCCTTTTGCAGTCTTTACAAACCCACACACTGGAAGGCCACCAGTCGCATGTCTCTGGAACACCTGCACATGATCCTTTGAGTATGTGCAATCGCCATTTTGTCTGAAAGGGGTGTCGGGTGGGTTTTCAGCCTTGGTACATGTGTGCTAGAACCTGGGGAAATCCTGATACACATTTTCTGTGCCCCAGAACACATGTAGCAGAATTTTCCCAGGTTCTGGCACCCGTGCACCAAGGCTGAAACGCCACCTGACACACCTTTCAGACAAAATGGTGATTGTGCGTATTGGGAGGATCACATGTACCACTCCACCCTGTACATGTGGTCGAACAAAAATCGTCCAACAAGGGCTACCCTCTTGGGCCAGTCCTAATTTGAGAGAAACACGTCTAAATTCCAGTGCACTTAAAATTCATAGGATATAACTTTGGCTGTGAACAGTGTTCCCTCTAAGCTGAGTTAGTGTGAGCTAGCTCACAGTTTTTGTTAGCCTCCAGCTCACACATTTTTGTCTCAGCTCAGGAAGGATGGCTCCAGAGCAAACTGATTTATGCAGTAGCCAAATCGCTCACTCACAGCTTTAATGCCAGTAGCTCACAGAGTAGAATTTTTGCTCACAAGACTCCACGGCTTAGAGGGAGCATTGGTTGTGAATCTGTCAGGTGTTAGAATCTGAGCCATGTAGTGGTTACAGTGTCAGACTAGGACTTGGGAGGCCCAGGTTTACATCTGTGAAGCTCACTGGGTGATCCCAGCCTATTGCTTCCTCTCAGTCTACCTCACAGGGTTGTTGTGAGGACAAAATGGGTGAGGGAGAACCATGTGCCCTGCCTTGAGCTCCTTGGAGGAAGGGCGAGATACAGATGTAGAGGGGAGGTATAACGTGGGATGTCACCAGGCAACGAAAACGTTCTACTATGAATAAGGCTGTAAAATGACAACTAACCACAGGAGGAGAAAGCCCAGAAAAATGAGGGTCTCTCTTCTCTGTCTCGTGCTGGCTTTCAGCTGACTAGCAAGAAGAGTTGTCGTATCTGTGTTCTGTACAGTGACTAGCACCCTCCGGGTTCCAAATGCATAGTAGCAAACCAGACAAAAGGAGAGACAGCGGAGGAGCTGGTGGTTCCACCCGCTGGTGTTGACACCTCTTTGCATTCTGTTTCTCCTTCTCGCCAGAGTGCTGGGAACAGGACCCCCACCGTCGCCCCAGCTTTGCATCCATCCTGTCGCAGCTGACAGTGCTGGAGGCTCAAGTTCTCCGTGACATGCCCCAGGAGTCCTTCCACTCTATGCAGGACGACTGGAAAGTGGAGATCCAAGACATGTTTGATGAGCTGCGTGCCAAGGAGAAGGTGAGGAAGAGAGAACGGTATCAGACCTACCAGCTCTTCTAGTACTGGATCGTGCATGCATATTTTGGATAGATAGATATAACAAAAAAAATAGCACTCTTCCTGTCACTGAGTCCCCTTGCCTCCTCCCACCACCCCTTACAGCTACTGCAGTGTCATGGAATATTCACAAACACTGAGAATGTTCTAGGTGACAGTGCCAACCATACAATGCTGACAGGCAATGCAGCTTCAGTAACAGAAAGTAGATCAGTTTGGCTGGGACTACAGTGTTGCATGGGACGTGCAGACAGGAGGAGTTTTGTGGGAGGGTTGGACAGACAGGAAGTTTAAAAAGCCACAAAAGTTCAGCTACCCTCAGGTTCTCAGAGCCCAGCCTCTTCTCTCGTTGCCCAGGTCTTTAAGTGCCCCCTTCTCCCGTTCCCCTCAGGAGCTGCTGAGCCGTGAGGAGGAGCTGAAGCAAGCAGCCCTGAAACAGAAGTCCCAGGAGGAGTTTCTGCGCCAGCGGGAGCATGAGCTGGCCGAGTGGGAGCTGGAGGTTTTTGAGCGCGAGCTAAGCCTCCTCATCCAGCAGATGAACCGAGATCGGCCCCACGTGAAGAAGCGGAAGGGGACCTTCAAGAGGAACAAGCTGAAAGGGAGGGACGGGGAACGCATCAGCATGCCCCTTGGTACGACCCTGGTGGGGAAAGATTGGGGTCATGTGTTCAGTGTTGTGTGGGTGGGAAGATGAAAGTTGCCACCTCATGGAAGCTAAGCAGGGTCGGCCCTGGTTAGTGCTTGGATGGGAGGCCACCCGAGGAAGTCCAGGGGCCCTACAGTTTGGTGGAGCCAGTTTGGTGTAGTGGTTAAGTGCACGGACTCTAATCTGGGAGAACCGGGTTTGATTCCCCACTCCTCCACTTGCACCTGCTGATGTGACCTTGGGTCAATCACAAGCTCTGGCACAGCTGTCCTTGAAAAAGAGCAGTTTGTGTCAGAGCTCTCTCAGCCCCATCTACCTCACAGGGTGTCTCTTGTGGGGAGGGGAAGGGAAAGGAGTTTGTAAGCCGCTCTGAGACACCTTTGGGTAGTGAAGGGCGGGGTATAAATCCAATCTCTTCTCTTCTTCTTCTTCTACACGGAGGCCAGCCATGGCAAACCACCTCTGCTCACCTCTTATCTTGAAAGCCCTACAGGGTCGCTATAAGTCGGCCATGACTCGACGACTCTTTCCACCACAGGAGTCTTAATTGAGGCTTTTCTGGATTCGTCTCTTGTTCCCTTTTTTTTACCCTGTGTCCCTTTGGGCATGGGGGCCACAACTGGATCATGATGTGTGTTTTCCCCCTCTCCTCCTTTCTCTCAGATTTTAAGCACCGCATCACAGTGCAGGCTTCCCCCGGTTTGGACAAGAGGAAGGACTTCTTTGAGGTGGGGGCTGGTGGCTCCCCCACTTTCCCCCGATTCCGAGCTATCCAATGTGAGTGATGTTTATTTGGACCTCTTGGGGTGGGAGCGGAAGGGTATTCTGTGCCCTATTGTTGGCCCTCCAGAGGAACTGGTTGGCCGCTGAGTGGGACAGGACACTGGACACGGCTCTGATCTGATAGGGCTCTTCTTATGTTTTTATGAAGCTGGAA